AGACAGCGAAGCGCAGAGAGCATGCCTACCGCAAGAGGGTTCCGATGAGCTGCGAACACCAAAGGCCAGAAAGGCTGGGTGAAATTTGGAAATAATACACACTCCACGCAGAGGATGCATCTAGTATCTAATCATGGACATTGAAATAGAAAAACGTGACGGTAAATTACATACATCGGCTAGCGATGTGTTGTCTACTGAGTTGTCAACATTTTGGAGACCTCGATGCAGGGCACGGAGGACCGCAATTATGGGTGAAATGACGATGAAAACTTAATGAATGTTCAGACTGGCACATAGATTACCAGGAACAAACAAAAAAGCCACAAATTTATTGTAATTAGGTATCTTTTTAATTATATTCCATTTAAATAGTTTTAACTGAAAGCTATAACATTTCTTAGTGTTGCTACGCACAGTCCTGTCCTTATTTGTGTAAAGTGCTAACCTTGTTTCTCTTTACAACAGTGACGTTAACTGCGTCATGCTAGAACACTGGAGCTCTGACAGCCGCCGCAAAGCACGTCGACGGAGGAGTGCAAGACATCACGAATGGTCTGTCGCTGCAACAAGCAGGCATAACCATCCGTGCATTCTGAGGTTGACCCACGGTTCAGAACAAGCCGACGCAGTGCTTCCAGGCTGCACTCCGCCAGGTCCTCACCCAAATCGGGGAAAAAGAAGCTCGGGAAATCGTCTTCGTTTGTGCCACAAAAGATCTGCAGCTCCTGGAGCGATGCGGCAAAGGCGCGAATCAGGGACAGCATGGTGGACTTGTGGTTCTCATTCAAGCACACGCCAAGCCACAGCAGTGCGCCGTGCTGCGAGGGGGTCAGGAACACATTTGGGCATTGGTAGTTCTCCACCATGAGACTGCGTAGCATGGGCATACGCCGCAAACAGCGCAGCTGGTTCTCGCTCGGAAAAGAAATCGATAGCTCCTCCAACTGCAAGGGCAGGTCCGGGTAGTCCACCAAATTCCTATCGCATTTGACGATCACCTTCTTGAGCGATGACATCTTCTGCACCTCTTTCATCAGGCTCGGCCCAGCGAGGCCAACGATCTTCAGCTCTTCGACGTGGCGCGCCATGACCCGCAGCAGCTTCTCCGAGTCGCGGCCTTTCAAGTTATTTATTGTGCGTATGTTTCTCCAGCGCAGCCCGTTCCGTAGGATGTCGTTCACCTTCAAGTGCCCATCGTCGTCTATGTCCTTGTGCTCGATGTAGAGGGTGGACAGTCTGGGCGGCGCCACGCTGGCCGCCGAGGGGACTGCAACAGCGCCATTGTCTACCTGTGGGGGGCAGAAGCGGGTACGATACATAAATTGGCGTCGGCAGGCAAGACGACTCTGTCGGACAGACTCTGTCGCAGGCCCATCACCAATCTGATCACCCACCTTAGTCAGCTGGCCGCTCGCCCGCAGCAGAAGCAGCAGGGGACGCAAAATGTGGTCAATTGGCCCCAGCAGCACAGAGGCCTTCCAGGCGGCCACACCCGCGCCTTCCTCCGCAACGACGCTGCACTTGTTGGTGGTGAGCAGACGGAGGCTGTCCTCCAGCTGCGCCACCAGCTGCAGCTGCTCCGCAGTGAGGTCCGGTGTGGTGCCCTCACTGCCTGCCGCCACCTGCTTCAGTTTGTCGAAAGCCTCCTCAATTTGGCGGAGCGAAGCCACCGACGAAACCAGCTGGCGGTTGAGGGCCGCTACCGCCATAGGCACTACCTCACGCAGCTGCTGCACCACCTTCCTCCCCGCCTCCACGCCCCGCTGCAGCTGCTGCATCTTAGTGTCCTCCTTCCTGGCCACCTTGCGGGGTGGCGCACCATCCTTTTCAATCATTCGGATCGCAAGAATGTTGTCGGGGAGGCTGCCTGGGTCAGCGGTAAGGTCCTGTAAGAAAAAGCATTGCACCGCCAGTTAACACACTGTTCTTGTGTGTGAGGGAGGGGGAGCTTGCAAAATTATCGGCAAGATCTTATAAAATGCGAATGTCTACGTTTTCCAACCTCATGCAAAAATAAATATGAAAGAAAATTCCACAAATATTTTTGAACAAATCATAACTTTTAAAATGTGTGCAGACTCCCATGGAGCAGATTTTTCACGGACATTAGAGGGTTAAAACAAACTGTGAGTACAAATTTTTGTTTTCGAAGTGAGCGCCTGGGCGGTAGGCAACCGTTCGGCCACGCGAAGACTTGCCTGCTTCTCAGGCACCTTCACCATGCCCCCCCCCCTCTTTTTCCCGCCTCTCTTTCACACCCACACTCTCTACTCCACGGAGCTCTACTCTAGTCCCGGAACTACATGGTCTACCTAGGAGGGACACTTGGATAGCAGTTTTGAATGAACTGACCTTTCTGCAAGTTGGGCACTTTTTTCCCAAAGCCGGATTCTGCACGCACTCGATGCAAATGGTGTGCCCACAGGGCAAGCTCTTAGGACGGTGATTGTTCAAGTCAAACTGAACAAAGCATATGTCACAGAGCAATTCTGTCTGCAACAGAAGGATACCGGAAGGTCACACTAAAAGCGTACATAGATTGAAACCATCCCCTTTGCAAAACTTCCCGTTTTACAATTCAGTTAATATTCTTTTTCTTGTATTTATTTTTTAAATACAATATTGTTACTTTAAGAAGAAAAGTCAATTATTCAATGAGAAGTAATGATGCTATATCCACTATATGGAAACGTTCTTTTTACTTACATCAATAAAATTCCGTGACATTTTTGCAGGAAAAGTGACGGAAATTTACTATTCAGTGGATTCTTGTCAGTTTTACTGCTGCCCGTTGAAACGTTGACAAAGAAATCTAAACCTACTTGCCAGCACTAAAGCTAATCAAACGGTCGATATTCAGGTTAGGTTCGGTAGAGCAGTTGACAGATTCATTATCAAAAAACACCACTTTGTTTTGTTTTCACACTAGACGTAGCGAGCAAGGCGTACGATTGGTTGGGCGTCGATGTTCAGTTCGAATGACGCGCGTCGCTGTCTCACTGCCTTGATCCGTCGCCAGACAGCCAATCACTGGCCTTGTCTTCTGATACGGGAGGACAAGAAAACAACAACTCAGTAGCAGCCGGACTGTTATTTTGTTGCCTTAGACTCAAACAAAATATAACCTGATCACGCGTTCGTGTGAGACTGTGTACACCTGGGGCAGTACTCACATCGACAACCCACAACTTTTGATTTCGTCACTGTTGTCGCGGACATTCGATTTGGACTTCCTCCTGTCAGTGCTTGTGCTTGGTTGTCACATTGTTGAGTTGTGCGCTTCATCTAGTGGAGAAATTGATTAACAATCAAACAAAAGCAGTGCAGCAGGATCCTATCATTTAGTTTCATTTAACCGTTATAGCCCCAATACATCAAGCGAGACATTTTATCAGCGTAAGTCTAAATTATAATTTTATACTGGTGTGGCAAACTCAAAGTTGAATCAAAATAAGTCATGTTATTTCTATCGAACTACTTAAAGTGAGACCCTCTTTCTCTCTTCCACTACTTAGATGGAACTCCAGTGTGACATTTGTTTTGCCAATTATGATATGGAAGCCTATCGTCCCAAGAGCTTGCCTTGCGGACACACCTTCTGTAAATGTTGCGTCCAGAATCCTGGTCTGGGAAGGAAGTGCCCCACTTGTAGGAAGGTGAGTAACTTGTAATAAAGCATTCTGTTAAAGCTGAAATGCAGAAGAATGCGGAGAAGAAGAAAACGGAAATCGCTATGCTTTAACATGGTAACTTCTGTTTTCTTTTTTCCTGCATTCTTCTGCATTTCAGCTTTACTGGATTGCTTTATTGTGCTTTGTGGCGGTAGTCATTGTTCTCATCATGATGACAATCAAAAAATTATTCAGGAGACAGAAATATGTCATGCGAAGCAGGTTGATTTCTTGTGACATGTTTCGAGGGACAAGATAGTCATTATAACGGCAAAAAAGAAGTCATATTTAAATTTATTTCCTGATCTGAATAGCATGTTCTATGGGACATATTCAATGTAAGGATAATAAGGGCAAAAGTGTAAAAATATATAAAGTGTGCCTTTCTGTTGTCAATGACTGCATTTCCTGTCAAAGTATTTGCTGTCATTGCTGTATTTAGGAAGTTGAGTATTGTGCATCACCAGGCCTGTTCTCCCATAGGACCTGGCGGCGGACCCTGACGGCCTCCCCGACAACATCCTAGCCATTCAGCTCATTGAGAACGATGGCGCCCCACTCCGCAAGAGGCCAAGGAGAGAAGATCCAGAGGTGCAGCAGCTGCAGCGCGGCGTGGACGCGGCCAGAAAGGTGGTGGACGCGCTGCGGCTCGCGGTCCCCAAGGCCGTGGAGGCGCTTAACCGCCAGCTCGACATGTCAGTCGCCCAGCTCCGCCAACTGGAGGAGGCCCTGGAGCAGCAGGTGCAGCGGAGGGCTGGCGGCGACCAGGGCTCCTCGCCGGAGCAGCTGCAGACGGCTGAGCAGATGGAGGACAGCCTCCGCTTGCTCACCACAAACAACTGCAGCGTCGTCGTAGGGGAGAATGGTTCCAGCTGGAAGGCCTCTGTACAGCTCAGCGAATCCTCCGACATTCTGCGCCTTTTGTTGCTGCAGCTGCGGGCGGACGGCCAGCTGGCAAAGGTAAAGCCTCCATTCAGAACGTCTAATTCGGTTGATCTCGGTGTGGTTCTTATTTGTCGTCTTTACCCCCAGGTTGACGGCATCCCCGTTTCCTCCTCTGCATCCGGATACGTGGGACCGCCAATGCTGGGCATCCTCACCATAAAGCGCACTGATCTCACGGAGGGCAATTTGAAAGTGGATGAAATCATTCGAGCAAAACGTCGGATGCAAAATATACGCAGTATTAGAGGCTTACAGGGCGAGGGCTCGGACAAGCTCCTGCGTGTCGTGGCGTCGCACTCGCTCCACGTCGAGGAGCTCTGGTTCTCGGGCGAGGTTGAACCGAAAGTCATGGAGGTGGTGCAGAAGATGACCTCCCTCAAAAGACTTTTCTTTGAAAGCTTAGAAAACCATGATGACTACCCGGACCTGCCATCGCAACTGGAAGAGCTTACTCTAAATAGTCCATGCGAGCAACAGCTGGACTCAGTAATGCGAATGCCTGGTCTGCGCAGTCTCAAGATTTGGAACTACTTTGGCGCAAATCTCACCTTTCCACCGTCGGAGTATGGAACTCTGCGTTGGCTGGGCGTTTGCTTCGATCCTGAGCACAAACCCACCATGCTCTCCCTGATCCGCGCACACTCCTCATCACTTCAGGAGCTGCTGGTGTACTGTGGCATCAGTGATGTTGAATTAGATGGTAACTTTTACCTCCCAGACCTGGGCCAAGACTTGGCTGCCTGCGGCCTGGTGCACCTCCGGCGCCTCGTCCTTTATCGTCCAAAATTCGTTCCATGCACGGATATCGCAGGCTGCCTGATACAACTGCAGAACCTCCGCGGCTTCCTGCCCTCGTCCGTTGAGGTGGTTTGCGATGAGTGTACTACCTCTGTTCTGTGGTAAATGCTTAAGCACGCCCGCTTTAGGGCAAGCTCAAAAAAGCTCCCGTCGTCTAAGACATGCGGTCATAATTTTCCTAAGATTTTCCTGAATTGTAAGCTGGAATCATAGAAATAAAGCTTACTCTTGACTGCATTTTATGTGTCCTTGTAAAGTAATCTTGCTGTTTCCATTCCACCTTCTCCATTTTCAATTCTGTCGATTTACCAAACATCCGATATGTATCTGTCTGGGGTGAGGAGCCACTCGGTACTCTTGTTCTCCCCAGCGGCGTTTAGTTAGTAGGCGCTGCCCAGCCCAAGACACTCAGCCTCGCAGGTTACTGCAACACTTGCAGGGCAGTTAGGACTAATCTCCCAACCCGCCTGGGAGTGATATTTAAAAGAGCTCACCGAAGTGCGAAGCGACCAATCAAGATTGTGTGTGTGTGTGGGGGGGGGGGCAGCGAACAGCAAGCGTACTTCCAGAGACCCCTGCTGTGACTTCCGTGAGTCCCCTTTCTAAGGTGACCCCACACTGAGCGGGAGGCGATGCCGTGCGGCCAGGCCGTGCCGACAGGTTCACCCACTTTCAGGCGAAAACAGCTTTAATAAGACGAACACGCGCAACCGGCACGGCCTCCCGCTC